GCTAACTGAATTAGCTAACTGATTAGCCAAAAGTAAATAAATGAAGAAGAAAGCCTTCAGAATGAGAGACCAAAACAAACAGGAAAAAAAAAAAGGAATTCAAAAGAAACATATAATTCAGGGAGCAAAAAAAAAAATCAAAGAAGCTATAATATCCTCTCAGAGATAAGAGAAAGTTTATGAGACGTGGTTAACGCTAACTGATTAGCACAGGGCCAATTCTAACAAAGAACTGGAAAATATGAAAAAGAATCAGAACTGAATATGACAAATGAAAAACAACTAGAGGGAGTTAACAGCAGACTAGGTGATGCCTAAGTGATCTAGAAGGTAAAATAATGGAAATCCTTCCTTCTGAACAGCAAAAAGAAACACAAATGACCTCTAGGATAACATCAAGTGTGAAAACATTCACATTATTGGGAGATATGAGAGAGGAGTTGAAAGCATACTACATGAAATTATGACTGGAAACTTACCAAATCTAAAGAAGGAAACAGATGTCCAGGTACAGGAACCACAGAGGATCCCAAATAAAATGAACCTAAACAGACCCACACCAAGATATATCATAATTAAAATGGCAAAAGTGGAAGATAATGAGATGATTCCAAAGGCAGCAAGAAAACAGTCAGTTCAAAGGAAACCCCCATAAGGCTATCAGGTGATTTCTCTGCAGAAATTTTGCAGGCCAGAAGGGAGTGTCATAATATATACAAAGTACTGAAAGGGGAAAACCTGCAACCTAGGACACTCAACCAAGCAAGATTATCATTTGGAATAGAAGGGGAGCAGGATGCAGGGGAGGGATTAGTTGCTAAGTCATGTCCACTCTTGCGACCCTATGGACTGTAGTCTGCCAGGCTCCTCTGTCCATGGGATTGTCCAGGCAAGAATACTGGAGTGGGTTGCCATTTCCTTTTCCAGGGATCTTCCCGACCCAGGAATCAAACCCAGGTCTCCTGCACTGCAGGCAGAGTCTTTACCAACTGAGCTAAGAGATATGTAATTTTCCAGACAACCAAAAACTAAAAGAATTCAGTAATACTAAACCTAACCTTAAAGGAATGTTAAAAGGGTCTTTTTTAAGTGGAAAGGGCCACAAGAAGAAAGAATCTGTAGGAAAGAAAAAGTCCACCAGTAAAGGCAAATGTATAGTAAACACTGTGGAGCGACCAATTAAATAAGCTAGTACTAAAAGACAAAAAATTGTAAAAATCAACTTATAGTTACATTAAACAGTGAAAGGATAAACATGAAGGTGTAAAACATGGCATCAAAAACAAAACGAGCATCTTGCTTTTCATAACATAAGATGCAACTTATCAAACCTTAATATCTTACAGAATTGTTTCCTGAGTTTTTTAAATAACATCTTTCCCCACCCTGAGGACACAGAATAATAAGCAATAGATTTTGTATTCCACACTTCACTAACAATATTTTAAATTTTTCTGTTTTGGAAAGGCATGAAGGAGGAGTCGAGGGGTATCTTTTTCGCTCATATGAGATTACTGTTCCTTCATTACTAAGATCTAGCCAAAGCACTTATCTAAGATATACTGTCAAGATTTGCTGATTATTAGCCAAACCTCAAGGATTTTGTCCTAGTTCTTATCCTCTTAGATTCTCTTTAATTCAGTACTGTCAACTAGCCTGTGCTCAGATTTTACTTATTCTTCTTATATGTGGCTCTCTTTGCACTGTGTTTGATATTTCAGTGTCTCTTTCAAAAAACAAAATATATATTCCTCTTTTACCAACTAAGCATGGCATGATTCTCTTTGCCCTCTAAGTTGTCTTCTAAGGGAGTTTTCAATTTTATTCTGCATTTTGGTAGTTTTTAAAAATGACTCTGATCCTAGTCCTTTGATTCTCTTCCTGTTTTAACTCTAAAACACTACCACCTGGATGAATGTTCACTACCTCCTCAAACTGAAAATCATGAGTATATAATTTCTTATATTTTATTTTCAGGATCCTCACCTCTTTTATGTTAGTTTGCCCATCTTACTTACCCCTTAAATAAAAACAATACCAGTTATTTTTCTGACCTGTTTAAGCTACATGATCTATTTATACTGTTTCGTGTCCTTTTTTCAGTTCACTAACTTGCTAAAAATAATATACTCATTTCTCTTTCCACTGCCACATCCCTTTTCTAAGCCCTATTATTGCCTAACCAGATTACTGTATATTTTTTCAAGGCTTTTCTAACTTCAGTTTCCAACCTTTAGTCATGCATAAAATCTGAATTTAGTTTTTTTATCTGAGGTGGGTTTTTTCCCTGTTTTCAGTCTCATTAACTCTTATCTGTATCCTTACCAAATTCCTTGCCATTGCATAGTCTTCCTTCAATATTCACATAATTATCAACATGTTATTCATATATAACTACTTACATTTTTTTCTTTGAGCCATAATGAATTAGCACCACTCTTGTTCTCTCTAGGCATATTGAGCCTTCAATAAAGCAATTCCATATACAGAGAACAGTTTAACTTCACTTCTCTATTTTTTATGAGAGAACCGGGACATATTACCAGTAAGCTGAGTAGTAGCTTAGGTATGAATAGCTGTATATTACCACAGTATATTTCATTCATTTACCAAATATTTGTTGAACATCTGTCATGTGCTAACCAATATTCTAGACACTGATAATATAGCAGTGAATGATTTTAAGTGGTATTGGACACTATTGAACAAACCAGAGAAAACCTGGCCTGTCTATAGTTTAGCAAACCAGACAGGTTTGAACCTCTAGAATCATGGTGTTCCCAACCTGGTAACCACTAGCCACAAGATTCTAATTTCAATCTTAAATTAAAATTAAATGAAGTTTAAAATTCAGTTCCTCAGTTATTACTAGCCACATTTCTTTTTTTTAATAGAGGTATAGTTAATTTATAGTACTATGTTAGTTTCAGGCGTACAGCATACTGATTCAGTACTTTTGCAGATTTTCCACTAGAGGTTATTATAAGATAGTAGCTGTAATTCACTGCGCTGTACCATAAATCCTTGTTGCTTATCTATTTTACATACAGAAGTTCATATCTGCTAATTCCATACCCCGATCTGTCCTTCCTTCCCTCACCTCTTTGGTAACCACAAGTTTGTTTTCTATGCCTGTGAGTCTGTTTCTGTTTTGTATATTCATTTGTATTTTTTTTAGATTCCACATATAAGATGTATTATATTGTGTTTGTCTTTTTCTGTCTTGACTCATCTCATTAAGCATAATAATATTCTCTAGGTCAATCTATGTTGCTGCAACTCGCAATATTTCATTCTTTTTTGTGGCTGAATAATACTCCATTGTGTGTGTTTGTGTGTGTGTGTAATATGAGATATGTATATATCTCACATCTTATTAATCTGGTTTTCTATTGAATGGCATTTCGATTGTTTTTAGGCTGTTGTAAATGGTGCTGCTATGAACATTGGGGTGCATTCATCTTTTCAAATTAGTGTCTTTTTTTTCCCCCCAGATACAAACCCAGGAGTAGAATTGCTGGATCATGTAGTAGTTCTATTCTTAGTTTCCTAAGGAACCTCCATACTGTTTTCAATAGTGACTGCACCAGTTTACAACCCACCAACAGTGTAGAAGTTTCCCTTTTCTCCACACCCTTGCCAATATTTATTTGTAGACTTGCTGATAATGACCATTCACTGACAAGTGTTAGTTGATACCTCATTGTGATTTTGATTTGTTTCTCTAATAATTAGTGATGCTGAACATCTTTTCGTGTACATATTAGCCATCTGTATGCCTTCTTTGTAAAAATGTCTGTTCATGTCTTCTACTCGTTTTTGATTAGACTGTTTCTGATATTGAGTTATATGAGCTGTTTGTATATTTTGGGTATTAACCCCTTATCTGCTGCATTGTTTACAAATATATTTTTTCCATATATTCTTCCCATCCTGTAGTTTTGCTTTCGTTTTGTTTATGGTTTCCTTTGCTGTGCAGAAATCTTTAATTAGACCTTATTTGTTTATTTTTGCTTTTATTTTGCTTTAGAAGACTGATCCAAGAAAATATTGCTGTGATTTATATAAAAGAGTGTTTCACCTGTGTTTTCTTAACAGAAGTTTTAGGGTTTCATATTTTACATTTAGATCTTTAAACCATTTTGAGTTTATTTTTGTATGTGATGTGATGTAATATTCTAATCTGTTTTACATGTTCCTGTCCAGTTTTCTGAGCACCACTTGCTGAAACCACATTTGAAGTGCTAAATAGCCCCACGTGGTTAGTGACTACCATATTTGACAGTGTAGATACAGAATGTTTCCATCAACATAGAAATTTCAGTCAGGTAATACTGCTCTAAAGAAATTGGAATATGGAAACTTGAGCCTATCCCCAATGTAAAAATATGTCATAGGACAACTTGGTTCCCTAAATCAAGAAAAGACCTTTGCTCAAAGTGCCAAAAAAATGTAGCAGGAACTAGGTTGTTTCTTTGGCCCAAACTGATATTAACACAAAAAGATTCTCAGGATAACACAGATACACAGAATTACTCTGTGTTATATGACTTAGGTATCTTAAGTGCCTGTTCTACCAATGCTAACTTGAACAGTACTTTGGTAGTTTTAGACAACTTTCTAAATAGACTTCTGGCAACCCTACTTCATTTTTTAAAAATATGTTTTTAAAACTTAATAATTTTTTTTCCAAATAGAAGAAATGTTGTAATTCATTTGTTTCTCTGTTGACCTCTTTCTCGTTTTATACTATTAATATAATGCTAGACTAAAGATTGTGTGAAGTAGATTGTAAGCTCTCAGAGAGCAGGGAGCAGACCTTTCCTGAGTTCTGGATCCCTCCTAATCTCTACTTAAACACTATAGTATAATTAGTACCACATGTTCTGTGAGTATTTATTAAATGTTCATGGATGTTCTACACTCATCTGTTCTAACTTATCTTTTTTTTTTCTCATTCAGGGTCTCTGATCTATATTCTCTTTCTCTTTACTTAACAGACAGTGTGGAGCATTCATTATTAAGACAATTGGGCAGCTCTAGTCCAGCTCAGCTGACTTCTTATCCAGTGATCCTTGTGTGGCCGAGACCCAGCTCCAATGAACCGGCTAGAAGCTGCCCGTTGTGAAACTTAGGGTTAGTTAATACCTCACCATACTTATTTATTCCACTATAAGCTGTCTAAATTTGATGAAATTTGCTTTTTCAGCTGTTCTACAAAATTATTTAGGTAAATGTGGCATGTTGATTTTTTAATGTGTTTATCTAACTGTAGTGACATTTTCTACAACGTGTTTTATCCATTCCATAAATAATAACCACATTGGGAATAGTGAGGTGTCTTTCATTTTCTCTGCTTTGTGTTATTTCATTTCCTCTCAATCTTTTAGAAGTTATATTTCATATTCTTTGGTATTTATTTTAATATTTAGGATAAGAGTCATTTCTAATTCTAATGCCTTTTATCATATATTTCATCTTAATGAATCAGTTCTGCTGCTTGGCAATTTTGTCATTTTTGTCTAATTTTTTGTTACTGCTGCTCTTTAATTTTGCTTCTACCATGGTTTTCAGAATTTTAGTAGTATTTATACTCCTTTTTAAAAACATTTCCAAATGTTAGAAATACCATCAACATGATCAGTATTCTTTCCTTTTCATGTGATTAATTTGACTATATTAAATTTTTTCTCCTAACATTTGAGATAATGCTCCAGTCTTCCTATAACATAAGCCATTTGGTACCAAACTTTATATAATATGGATCACTTAGTAGAATTGTTTTGATGAAAAGAAGGGCTTACCTCTGACATGATCTTATTACATTGATATTCTTCTGTATTTTGGTGCTCTTAATGCTTTAACCTTTTGACCTTTTCTTACATTTTACCAATATTTTGCATTATATATGTGTTCTTAAAAGGACAGTTATTTCCATGAAAAGCAAATCTATTTCCTACACCAAAGAAAAACATTAAATTATAATTTTAAAGCAAATTCTTATTATATAATTGGAAAATAGGTGAGGAGAAAAAGCTGTTATTCAAAAGTTATAGAATAAATCGTGTTTTTATCACTAAAATTTATTTTTAGTATGAAGAAACCCACCTTCAATCCATTTGTAATTCTTTCACTGACCTAATTTTCGACAAGAAGGTAAAGCCATAAATATTGGCATTACCCAAATAAATCTCTTTTCCTTTCTTATTCCATCTACAAATATATTCCATGCTCAGCAGCAGAAATAATAAGACACGGACCTTAAAAGTTTCTCCTGGTGAGTCAAATAGGGAATTTCTTTTGAAACCATAATTAATATGCTCGCCAGTCAAATGGTTTCATGAAGACAGCATGACCATATGAAATATATACTAGCATATGAGAATTCCATGTACATTAATTACTCTCAGGTTTTAGAAATGTAAAAAGACTTAAGTCCCACAATGAAATTTCAAAGTTTTTCGTTGTATAAGTAAAAAGTACTAACTACTGGTGTTAGAGGTCTTCTTTTAATAGTACTGTCCTTGAGAACAAAAAAAAGTTAATGTTTTGACTTTCAAAATGTTAAACATGATGCTAAACAAATCCTGGATTGTTAATAAAAATTAATGATGCATTATTGGATAAGGAATTTTTATAATTATGGATACCCAGATGTGTTTTTTCAGAGCTATGTAGGTTATTTGTATGCACACACATATATACATAACAAGCATATACACATACATCTTCTGTATATATACATGCATATAATTCATACATATAGATTTTCTTAGAATTTAGCTTCATTTTGAGACGCTAATCAGAACTGTGGAAATTGCTGAAACCTAAATATATGGAGGATATCATCAACCATCTTCATGGCCTAGCTTGGTAGCCCAAATGTGTTTTTCTCAAAACAGACAGATTGGAAGGATGAAAATTGTCCCTCCATATACTAAGTAAAGCTCATCTTATTTTTTTCCTTTCTGTAGGTTTTTTTTTTTTGGTCGTGCTATGCAACTTGCTGGATGTTATTTCCCCGACCATAGGTCAAACCCAGGTCACAACAGTGAAAGCACTGAATCCTAATTCCCTGGCAGCATAGCCTGTAGTATATCTTCTATAGATAAACTTGAAGTTTTTACTTCCTTAGTACCCATTGGGAGAAGGCAATGGCACCCCACTCCAGTACTCTTGCCTGGAAAATCCCATGGACAGAGGAGCCTGGTAGGCCGCAGTCTATGAGGTCGCTAAGAGTGAGCAACTTCACTTTCACTTTTCCCTTTCATGCGCTGGAGAAGGAAATGGCAACCCACTCCAGTGCTCTTGGCTGGAGAGTCCCAGGGATGGGGGAGCCTGGTGGGCTGCCGTCTATGGGGTTGCACGACTGAAGTGACTTAGCAGCAGTAGCAGTACCCATTGTGAAAGATCAGCCTTAAGACAGCTGCAATTCACTGTTTTAGAGTGAAACGAATAATATGTATATCAGTCCCTGTACCAGAATCACAAGGTAATAACAACCTGTTTCCTCAGAATCTCTAATACATCAGAGATAGAAAGATGGTAGCATGGCAAAAGATAAAGCATCTTGGAAAATTAAGACTTTTAACTTCCATCAACTGATTTCACGATAGCTAGGAAAAGATATATGATTTAGTTTATGACATTGTTTTATAAATTTCTGCCAATAATGGCACTACATTATTTTCAAACACATATATAGATGATAACTCCCATATGTTAGGAGTGTTTCCTGGATTTATGCTATGTTTAACTATAAAATAATGAATTTGGGTCACGCTAAAATTATGTGTATTTTTCCCAGAAGTGGTGCTTCAATAATATTAAAATACAGAATCAAAGGACTAGAAAAAATTTTCAGAGAACGTCCAGTTCAAGTTTGATATCATGCCTCAACATGCCTTATTGTCATAAATAGTAAATTGCTCAACTGTGGACCTGTACTTTGACTAAAATGTACTCTGAAATCTCTGTAGACTTCAGGGGGAAGGGGCCAAATGATACCCAAAGAATGGATGTAATATTCACAGTTGGTACTGTTTCTTTCAGCTGTATCCAGTGCTTTCATTCCTGTACGTAAATTCCTAAAAGTATACTTGCCGTCAGCTTCTGTACTTGCAGGTTGAGTGCTACTCTCTGGTTAACAGCTGAAGTTATTGCTTTCGTTGGACCTGCTGTGTGTGTTTCTGTCTCTGCTTTTACGTATTGCATAAATTTGCTAATTACTTTCTGCATTCTCCTGCTTCCTCTCAGAAATCAAATACCATTCAAGATCACTTGTTTAATTGTCATTTCTCCTTCCAATGTGACATAACTTCTTCAGTTCTCTATTATATATGCTAGATTCATGGTTATCTTGATGTTACCTGCTTTCTGACCTGTCAGGATCAGCAAATATAAAATAGAAGGTGTAGATTTCAAACTAGTGAAATAACAGATTGAGGATTTCCCATATTATCATTCTTTTTAGGCATAATGCTTAAAATAGTATCAACTAATATAATGACAAGCCTGAACTTATCAAAGTAAGGATACACAGTAAGTCGTTAAGACATTCTACTTAGGCTGGTGACTGATAACCCATACTGACTTCTGGCTTTATTTTATTTTTTTCCAGCTTAATTTTAAAACATAATTTTAAAATTTTCCATTTACTGATTTGTCAGTTTTCCCCATTTGATATGTGTTTTTTTAGTTAAAAGAAGCTAATACTTGATTATTTACTAATATTTTAGTGCGTAATTTTCTGAGGGAAGCTTGTATGGTAACCTCAGCTTTGCATTCCTGTCAAGGTATGTACCCATGAGTAATGGTCATTCAGTATTTCTCTAAAAGTGATCTAGGTCATAAATATCTTGGTGCACTTTCCCCCCTTGGAAAAGAAGGGGTATAAGAAGCTGCCTCTCTATACGTAGGGACCAAAGTCCTTCCCTCCCTCCCCTGCTAAGTCTTTTCCTCACTTCAGCCCTTTTACTTGTTGGTTGTTGCTCCTCAGCAGAAAAACCTGGGGGGAACTTCACACTCCTGAGATGTATGTACCTATAACATTCCAGTATGCTCTTAGGCTTAAAGAGAGGATTTCCAAAAAGATTTTTTTTTACTAGACTCTTACTTTTTTCTTCATTTCTTTCTCTGTGAACTAGAGACGGTGAAATATATATCTGAGAGTTTTTCTTTCCTAGAGAAACTAACACTTTTCAGGAAATGGTAGGTTTTTTTGTTTTATTTTGTTACTTAAGTCAAGTATAAAGGGTTCAAAGTAAATGTCTCAAAGTTTTTAGCATTTATTTTCCTCCCATTACTTAGCATCAAGTTTTATGATATTCTTTCTAGATCTCTGTCTTTAATAGGTTTCGGTGCTTTTTTCATTTTCCCTAAAATTACAAGTGAAAAATTCAAAGTACAGTTAACCCTTAAACAACTTGGGTATTAAGGGCACAAACTGACACAGACACACACACCTACCTTCCTATAATGCGTGAATCAGCCTTCCATCTACACACACACACACCTACCTGCGTATAATGCATGAATCAGCCCTCCATCTGCATACATACACACACACACACACCTGCGTATAACGCATTAATCAGCCCTCCATCTACACACACACACATCCACCTACCTGCATATAATGCATGAATCAGCCCTCCATCTACACACAAACACACACACACACACACACCCCTACCTGTGTATAATGCATGAATCAGCCCTCCATCTACACACACACACACACACACACACACCCACCTACCTGCATATAATGCATGAATCAGCCCTCCATCTGCACATACACACACACCTACCTGCGTATAATGCATGAATCAGCCCTCCATCTACACACACACACACACACACACACACACACACACACCCCTACCTGTGTATAATGCATGTATCAGCCCTCCATCTACACACACACACACACACACACACACACACACCTTCCTGCATGTAATGCATGAATCAGCCCTCCATCTACACACACACACACACCTACCTGCATGTAATGCATGAATCAGTCCTCCATCTGCGCGCGCACACACACACACACACCTACTTGCGTATAATGCATGAATCAGCCCTCCATCTTCAACATTTTGTATCCATGATTCTCCCCTGGTTCCTTACCTGCAAATTCAACCAATGGAGGATTTCCAACAGGATAATGTAGCTTGAAAAAATTCAAGCAATATGGGGAACAATGTTTTGGCTAAAGGAATCCAGCTCACATAACTGATACTTGAGAGTATCATTCTTCATTTTCACAGCTGCTTTCCTTCTTCCATTTCTGAACCCATTTGTACTCTTGAAGCTTCATGTTTTTCACAGTGGCTCATAATTATAACAGTGATCATTTTCTAGGTATGAAAAAAGAACTCAGATAGCTTTTGCTTGAACATGGAATGTTTTATCCTTTTCTTTTTGCTTAATGTATTATAAATATTAGAAAAGGAAACTTTAAAAGATGATGGTCAGGCACAGATATCTTGTGTCTAATTCTTAAAGATCAGATCAAATTAGAAAGGATGTTAATAGTCATCTTTTTGTAAATCTATATCTTACTAGATTTCAAAAGGGTTATCCTGTTTCCTCAAAGAATCTCATAAGTATAACTCTAGATAATGAAACAGACATTTTGTTTTACACTTTAACAGATTTGTACTTTTGAAGTTAAAACCATTTTAATCTATTGACCTGCTTCTTGAAAATTACTTTCTAAATCATCATTACCTTGGCTTACATACCCATTACAGAGAATTCAATTTCCCTGATTTTCTTCTAAATGATGGACTGTTAGGGAAAATATCCAAAATTAATTCTAAAGATCATATCTTCATGTAAGTCGTCCTATTGGTATACTTTGTTTATTAAACATCTTTCAAACCAAACATCTCTATACACTCTAGGTAAAGGTAGAAAGTGTTAGTCGCTCAGTTGTGTCTGACTCTTTGCGACCCCATGGACCATAGTCCACCAGGCTCCTCTGTCCTTGGAATTCTCCAGGCAAGAATACTGGAGTGAGTTGCCGTTCCCTTCTCCAAGAGATCTTCCCAATCCAGGGAGTGAACCAGGGTGGGATGCTTTACCATCTTAGCCACCAGGGAAGCCCTAGGTAAAGGTTGCCAACCATATAGTATTCACTAACTTGATTTAATCTCAGGTCATACAGTTTCAAAAGACTTATCTTTATTGATAATAAATACAGTTCTAATAAGACAAGCTTATCATTAGGGTCTGCCTGAATAGGATTATGTGAAAGAATATATCTTTTCTCAGAGATAGTTACATCAGAGACTTGTCAAGTTCCAAAATGAATATTAGCTTAACCTTCTCCGAAATGATTGTATGGGTTCAGAATTACAAGTCCTTGTTTTCTAGTACTTATTTCCTCTTCGATCTCAGCATCACCTTCATTGATGAGCAGCAGACAGACTTGATTTGATTATCTTATAGAAATCAAAGCTATTTACCTATAGACAAGATCCTCTGATGTTTTATCAATCATATTAAGTTCTGCTTTCACTTCTCTCCTTCTAGTAGTCAGAAATATCTTAACTTTGCTGACCTCTGCTCCTAGTTCTTATATGTGGAAATCATATATTTATTATTCAA